GACGAACGAGATGATCCAGAGGAAGAGACGAAAGGCGATGTGGAGGACGAAATCCAGGAGGCAGCTCCTGGTGACCTCGGACTAGCAGAGGCTATCACGGCGTTGTCCAACGACATTGACCGCCTCATAGCGCAAGATGCTATCGTCGAGTCACTGACAAAGAAGGCGGACCTCACCAACAATACGGCTGAGCTTCGTATCCTGCGGAAGTCCAAGGCGAGTCTGCAGCGCGAGATCCGTCGCAAAGAACTTCAAAGGCAACAGTACGTTGTTCAGGAGAGCGACAACAGCTTGTACGGGCGATCAACAATTAAGATCAAGGCCATCCAAGTGGGCAAAGAAGACGATGGAAGGGAATTCGCCCTGTATGTCATCGAGGTGCAAAGAGATGCTGGCGAGAAAATGCCAGCCGCGACATGGATGGTTACTCGCCGGTATAGCGAATTCCACGATTTGCATCAGAGACTTCGCTCAAGATATCCTTCTGTTCGGAACTTAGAATTTCCCAGACGAAGGATGGTTATGAAGTTCCAGAGTGAATTTCTTCGCAAGCGACGGACCGCCCTTGAGAAATATCTACGAGATCTCCTTCAGCTTCCAGAGGCGTGCAGGAGTCGGGACCTGCGAGCATTCTTATCACAGAGTGTAATAGCGCAAGGTCAAGATCTTGTGGATCGCGAGGACAAGAAAGACATGATCACAAGGTTTTACGACTCCGTTACGGATGGAATGGAAGACATCCTCGGCAACATTCCTGTCTTGGATCAGTTATCTGTGGCTGGTCAGAATCTCATCGCAGCCGCCACCAACCAGCTGAACGCTATGCCACTACCTGTTAACGAGGACGGTGTCAGCGCTGCTGAGGCTGAGGCTGAACTGAACGCTTTCGAGAACAAGGAGCTAGAGTCTTTCATCAAACCTATCTGCGACATCTTCTTAGAAGTCTTTGAACTCAACCGAGGAAACAACTGGCTTCGAGGGCGTGCTGTGGTTGTCGTCCTCCAGCAGCTACTGGGCGGCACAATCGAGCGCAAGGTTCGAGACAATGTCAAGATGCTCGTACAGGAAGATGCCATCATCAAGTACATCGCCCTGCTCAAGGATAGCATGTGGCCCGATGGGGAAATGAATAAGAACAAGCAACCGAGGACGGCATCAGAGAAGAAGAAGACGAGGACGGAAGCCAGCTTGATGTTGGCTACTCTTATACCCGACCTAGCAGGAAGCGTTGTCGGAAGAGTGAATGCTCAAGCAGCCAGCCGGCGTGTTTTCGCAACCTTGAACAATTCGAGACTCAAGTAAGTTGTTGATGCGAGGCCGAATTGCCCTCGGTTGTCACATGGCTAACAAGACGTCTGTTTCCCAGCGCACACTTAGCCTTTACGTTCATGGATGAATTGATAGAAACTTTATTTGGTTAAGACGCGCAGGCTTTGCTTACTTGGTCAATTTGATACCATTCGGATGCGTTTACAAATGACGCGGCGTACCGTCCGCTGGGCGTACGATCATTCAGCCTGAACCAGTGGCGTATGCCGGGAACGATTATGAGGTTGCATGAGCAGGCGTCTGGTTTTATATTTCTTCGTCCGGAAGTACATACATTCACACTCACGACATGGAAGAGGGAGGCGGGTGGGCCAAGAAGTGGCAAATAATGCAAAAATCCTGACGAGAATCTATTCACGGAAAGATGTAATGAAGCGATAAGAGGTACGAGACTGTGTCCAATGAAGTCCACGGGAGGATATGCAGTTCTCCGGGAATTGCGATGAGTTGGACCTTTCTAGTCAACTACGTAAAACTACATGTAGAAGCTAGGCAGAACCCCCCACACTCGCGAGGCCGACGAAGCTCAAGACACATTCAAGTCACGGGTGATAACTTCGTAAATGCGCAATCCGAAAGGTTAGCACAGTAACTTGCACATTAGCCCATGTGACAATCTGAAGTTCCCACCAGCGAGAGCAGTGGTTTAGATTTGCTTCTGCGATGACAGTTATGTGAGCAGAGGAATGGGAGGAAGGTTTCGTGGAATAGGCAGGAATAGTAGAGGGGCCCGTCTCTGTTACATAACCAAGTCGGGTACGAATAACGGACCTCTTTGCTGGGTCGTGTGAGTTTCGAGGCCAGGCTTGTCCTCGGGTTTCGGGGTCCCACCATCCCCTAAGAGCGGACGGCTCGGTTGAGGTTTTGATGATTCAGAACACCTGGTATTACTCCAGGGTGTATTGGTCACCCACCACTCGTCATATCATGGATTGGGTTGGCTCCCGTGTTGCGGTACCGCACATCGGATTGCTAAGCTTTATTGGGCGACACGGCGACCATGATCTATCTATGAATCAATCGACAATGATCTGTCAGATTAGGTGTCAAGGTATTGTAGAGTGATCGGATGGCATGCGTGCGACCGACTCGCTCTCACATGTCATCCTTGATTTGCCATGGATAGCTGTTGCGGGAGGAAGGGTGGAGAGTGGAAGTTGGTTCGTTGCGCAAGTCACAAAGTAACCAAGTACGAATAATCAGAGCCAGCCTGCTGCAGTATCCGAACTGTCTTGGCACACTTGGCTCCTTGCCATTGATCTCCCGATTTTCTTCATGGTCATGGTAATCTCAGCTTAGGTTTCTCTTCGAATGTGACTATGTTGAGACGTTGCCTGGTGTCGACTGCCCTATTGCGGGTTGGTGAAACGGACAGGTCCTGGGACTGCCTGGGGCTTGGTTACCAGATGCAGCGGGTCGTACGGGAAAAGGGGGGGGGGGGGGGTGTGCCAGGGCACCGGTGTGGCACCAATCTGGAGACGAGGTTGCCCAGTGTGTCTCTGTTGTCTCTGTCTCTCGCCGAGACTTTCTACTGTGGTAATGGTTGCCGGACGAGACCGATCACTGATGTGTCCCGTATTCACTTTGTAACCGACGCGGATACAAAGCCCGGCTGGGCAGGGTGATGTTGGGAATCGGAATAGGACCGAAGCCAAGAGTAGATTGTTATCCTTGACGGAGATCTCCCTTATTTCGTCCCCTCACTGTTTTGGGACGTTAAGGGGAGTTTGAAGTTGCGCCGGCGACTCCTCCTATTCTCCTCTCCTCTCGGACGGTTGAATCCATTGAAGAAACAAAAGAAATTAGACCTGAAAAGAAGGAGGATGCGGAGGGAAAGCGCCACAGTGACCGTTGGAGCTAGCCACAAGTGACGGCCTTCAAAATGAAAAGTGTCAAATTCAACGTGCATGAGCTAGCCTGGAATTGGAATGCCTTTTCTGTTAACTGTGATTAATGACCAGTATGGATAGGTACCTGTATGCATAGAGCGTCTTCCCCTGAATTTGTCGCAAAGCCGAGTCGAAGTCGTTATCTGGAAAGCAGCACTGCAAGTTGCCTGCCCTCTTAGCCATAAGATTGCTGGTGAGATAGACTCGTGGAGCCGAATGGAAGCTTGATCGGATGAAAGCGAGCCATCGGACATGATGTTCCCCTTTCGCATACCCTGGTCTGGCGAGGTATCCGTACCTGAGCCGGGTTAGAGCGATGTAACTGATCTGGCAAAATGGCAAGGTTCCCTCCTCTAGGTGAAATATCCAACAAGCCAGGGGGTTTTGGTTCATTTTCCCGGGGTATTCAAGCCATCGCTGTTGCAATAAATGAGTGGCTTAATGAAGAATGACTTGAGGGTGCTAATAAAGTCAATATTTGAGCGCAAGAGCTCTTCTTACCTTAGGTAGATAGAAGTGGATGAATAAGTATTTTGAATGATGAAAAAAGCAAGGTATTCGCTGTTCTGCAACTCGAAGAGAGAGCCCGAGCTTGTGTACTTCTTGACGGTACCTATCTACCACACCTACTCCGTAGAGTGAGGTGAGGTTCCCTACCTCAGGTTCCCACCATTGTCAGGTACGAACCAGGATCACGATGGTCGAGGAGACTGAATCAAACGCGATCATTGGCTGATGCTACGTCTAGTCCGGGGGGCAGGCGCTCTCCTCATTGCTCAAAGGTACCTTGGGACTAGAAGCAGAAGGCCGCAGCTGTGCTCTGGGGCCCGGCTGGCGGCCCATCACGCCCAGATTCAGTCTTCTCCTCCTCGCCTCCTCTCCAGGCCCATGTCTGATTCTCTTTTTCGCTCCACCCTCCTTCTTTTCGAACTCACAGCTCCTAGCCTCCTGCTGTTTCCCCTGCTCCTTCTTTTTTTTTTCTCCATTCAAGAGGAAAAGGAAGAAATCAAGCTCCTTCTCCTCCTCCTCTTCCTAAGTTCCTACCTACCGAACCACAAGGAACATAGGTTCACGAGGTACCCACTATTTGTACCGCGGTACCTCCCGTCGCAGAGGTAAGGAACTTTACCGCCTGCCCAAGGGTACCTTCCTTAGCTACCTGAGGTACAGATGCCAACCTACCTAAGCAATATCAAATACCTTCCATTTGCCTGACCACCACACCCACCTCTCTCTCACCTGGTCCCATTCTCCTCAAACCACCACAATCACAACCATTCCAGAACCCCTCCTCTTCTTCCTCTTCCGACTCCTGCGCCCTCGATCTCTCGCACAGTCAGATTCCATCTCTGCTCCGACCAATCGCATCGCGACTCGACCGATCGGGGTCAGCGTCGAAATTCCCGTCCTCATAATATCCCCGCCTTCCAACCGTCCCCCGTCGATTCAATTCCCCTCTCGCAGACGTCGAGCGACGACTAGACCGGGCATCTCGTCTTTTTGAATCGTCAGTATATCTGGTTTCTTGCGCCTTGGTCAAGCTGGCCTCTACCGTTGGAGCCTCCTCCTCCTTTCCGGTCCAGTCGCCTCATTCTCTGCCTTCGCAGCTATACCGTTAGGACTGCTCCGGAAACTCTTTGGACATCTCTCCCTGCCCGGTCTGCGCACCATCGCCTTTGCGAATCCTCCTCCACCCAGACCGGAATCTTGGGCCAACTTTTGTTTTTATCCAACGACCGACCCTGACTGTTTACCCAAGGACACATCATATTCAACGTCACAATGACCGAGGTATCCTCCACCAGGCTGTACCTGGGAAATCTCCCTCGCAATGGTAAGCTCAGCCTTGCGCATCACCCGGCGCGTTCTTGTCGCAACCTGGCTGACCTTCGTAGCCACCAAGGCTGATGTCGAGGCTCATTTCGCGACCCATGGCACTGGCGAAATCACCGAAATAAAGCTCATGAACGGATTCGGCTTCATCGAGTACAAGGATGCCATGGATGCTCGCGATGTTGTTCCTGGTATGTGATCTCTAGCTATTGTTACTATTGCGCCTGTACGCATTACTTTGTTGCTAACTTCTTCCTTACCTAGCCTTCCGTACGTCCTACTGCGCCGTCCCACCACGTAACAATATCCCTTCACTTCTGGTGCGCTAACCCTAGCGTTGAAAAGATGGATCCGACTTCATGGGCGAACGCTTGACTGTACAATTTGCCCGTGGAACCCGTCACAGGGAGGGCGGCAGTGCCGGCGGCTTTGGCAACAATGAGCGCGCTCCTCCCAGGCCTCGCCGCACTCCTCACCGAATGCAGATCACGGGACTTCCCACCGATACCAGTTGGCAGGTCTGTTGTTCTCTCCCCATTCTCTAAGCTGGATTCCTGGATTCCCTTCTCTTCTTGCGCCTATGGCGCGCCTGGACCTTCATCGTACTCTTCGAGGTGGACTGTGGACTTTCCGGCATGCTGTGTAGCCTCAGCTCCAAGCCATAGGCGGCCTGTCAGTCGACTAGTCCGGACCGTGCTGCGCTCCTGAAACTTGCTTTCCCAAGTCCATGACCGTTTCTTTGAACCGGCGCGGGCCTGCCAAAGCAGCGACGGAACCCCAATGCCGGACGACACCACTCCTGGCTTCAATCCCCTTGGCTTGCTGCCGACTGGTCTATGAATCCTGGATTATCAGCCCTCTTCGGCCCATTATACCGATCCTGGACACCAACTTACATGGATTCTGGATATAGGACCTCAAAGACTTTGCTCGTCAGTCAAGCCTTGACGTTGTCTACTCGGAAACGCCCCGCGACGGCAACGGGCGCGGGTAAGTTGACCTTAGCCCAACACTTGCAATTATGCGCTTGCTGACCAAGACTCCATCCAGCTTCGTTGAATTCGAGACTGCGGCGGACTTGAGAACCGCTGTCGAGAAGCTTGATGGCCGAGAATTCAAGGGAAGCCGCGTTACCTGTGTAGCAGACGTAAGCGAGAACAGATAAGCGATTATGAGAGAATGTTTGTGCTCACGTTTTACCAGACACAGCCGGACATGCCGCCTCGCGGCGATATGCGCAGCGCTCGGTCTCGTTCGCCCGGCGGCGGCCGTCGACCCTACCCGCCTCCAGTTGACGACTACGACCGACGTGGTCCCCCGAGAGGCTACAGCCCACGCAGAGATGGTTATCGTGAGGGGTACCGTGAGCGCAGCCCCCGCCGCGAGTACTACGACGAACGTGCTCGTTACCGCTCTCCTCCGCGCCGCCCCATGGACGATTACCCACCTCCACGAGGCCGCTACGACGATCCCTACCGACGGGACTACCCTCCGCCGCCCGACCCCTATGTCAACGGCAGAGGACCATATGATCGCCCCCCTAGAGACTTTCCTCCTAGGGAGGCAGGTTACCCGCGTGACGGGTACCCTCGCGAGTATGAACGTGGTGGCCGTTACTGGTAACTCATTCCTGCTCATAAACTTGCCTCATAGGGGCTGTCCTTGACTCTGAATAGATCCTGGAAGCACCTCCGCTCTAATGGCTCAAGCCAAAATGGTAAATATCAATGGCAATAAGCGGGGTTCCTGAGAATGAATTAGGAGGAGGTAGTTGAGCAGTGTTAGGCTTGCGCTTTTACGGGTGTTCGTCAAGCAGACGACCCAGGCATGTTTCAAATTGCGATTTTTTGTCGGACCATCATCAACAACACAGCTGCGGATGCAACGATTCGGGGTTCGTTGAGTTCAGGAGAGGAAAAAAACGTCGAGTGCCTGATGTATATTGTACGATTACATGCATGGATATCCACCAAAAATGAACAGGCGTATTCGCCTTATGAGCACAGATTTGGTCTTTTGTTTGGGACCGGCTTTCGAGTCAACTATAGAATGACATGCATCACGGCTCAGGCCAGGCGATATTGGTTTTCTTTGAAATCAGCCGTGGCGACTGAGGGTGATCTAGACACTCGACATCGGAAAGAGCAATATATATTTCCGTCTGTAGACATCATGAACATTCCATGTTGGTGAAAGAGGATTACTTGGTATCCAAGCCGACTATCATGTCCGCATCGACAGCAGGGGGTAGCTAGCAGTCTGCCTACCTTATCCCGCCCATCATGGCACCATGCCTTCAGCCCAGGCTAGGTACATACCGAACGCCCAAAAGATTTCAAAAGCACTGCCTCAGTCAAGCTCTACGCATATCATTCCTCCTCTTCAACTTAGTAGACAAGTACAATACCAGTCGCTCCGACGACGCATCTCGTTATCCGACATACAACACAAATCATCACAAGCATACATATACAACGCGCTATCTTTCCTTCCATGCGGCAACGCGATTATGCCGTCTTCTTCCACTGGGTATACACGCCAATCAAACTGCTAACGGTGCCAGCAAGGCCGACGATACCATCATCAAAGTTGGCCCACGCGAGGGCAGAGGTGGGGACGGTCAAGTCGCAGAGGTCGGAGATGAGTTGCAGACGGCCGGCGGCGCGCTCACTGTTGTGTTTTGTCAGCTTGCTGTTGCCAGGACTTGAGGAAGGGAAGTGCATTCAAGGGTGGGTAGTGAAAGGGGGCGGACTATGTGGAACGTACATTGCTATTCTCTTGGCCTCGACGACACCCTCGCCCTCCTTCTTGTCGACCTTGGCCTCACGCTGCTGGAGGCGGTAGAGGGTGTAGGTCTGGGCGACGACGCTGAAGAGGATGCCAATGGCCCAGAAACGGTAGGCCTCCTTTTGCAGCCTCTTTGCGCCCTCCCACTTCTTGATGCCGGCGGCGTCAAGGACGGTGGCAGCGTCAAAGGTGAGGTAGCCGGCGTAGCCCAGCTGGCGGCCGACGGCGGCATAGCGGAGGACGGGGTCCATTGTCTTCGCGTCGGAGGCGACGGCGGCGGCCTTGAAGTGCTCGACGTTTTTGCCGATGCGCATAATCTTGCGGGTCAGGCCGAACTGCTTCTTGATGGCGTCCCAGGGGGCGATCTCGGCTTTGGAGCCATTGGTACGGAACAGGTACCAAGCGTAGAAGCGGGCAAAGTACTGGAGGGTGCGGAGGATCTTGTCGCGGCCGACGGTGGTGGCTACGAACTTGTTGTAGTGCGCTACGGACGGGTGGTAAATGAGAGCGTCGGCGACCATTTTGGCGGTTCTTGATGGGATTGCAAATCACCGGATGGGATGGATGCGATGGTGGAGTTTGATGATGATGTTTTGCTGGGTTATGGAGATGGCCTTTTTTTTGATGGGGAAGCAGCACGAGATGGATGAGTGGGCTGGTCTTCACGCGGAGGTTGTAGCATTCAAGTATGACTACGGTATCGAAAGCAAGTAGGCAGTCTTATCGGGGGTGGTGCGGTTTAGAGAGAAAGAAAGAGAGCATTGGGCAAGCCGACCGGCTCAAGGACGAGCTGCCACATGCCGAGGTCCGCCAGCGAACCCGAGACATCGCCAGAGCTGGGGCTTGGGGTGCTGGCTGGGAGCCTGGGGACCGACCTGGGGAGACAGACTGAAGGACGCGCAGCTGGGCAGCCATACTGTAACGCCAACAGCAGTAGGAGCCAGGTGCGGAGAAGGCTCTCACGTGCCTGAAGATTTTCCTCTCTGCTCAGTACTCATGGACCTCAGTGTCTCCTGGTCCGCACTACCTAACACAGCAAAGCACGTTTTGGACTCGATCAGCTTAGCTAAGGATATGGGGCGGTTCGCTGGGGAAATTGAGTGACCCGTGACAATTGACGGCAGTACGTTTTACCCAAGGCCAAGGGAGCCAGTCATCAGCATCTTATATCCCAATTACCAAGTGCACACGGATAATTCCCGTCCCCTTTGCGGCTAAGGTTCTGCCTAGGTAGCGATCACGCCAAGGATCCTGTTTGTAGTAATGAGACGTTGAAGCATTTCCCCTTTGATTCCAATCTTTACCGGGTTTCCAGTAACGAGCGTCCAAGTGCTCCTCCTCTCTCTATGAGCCAAGGTACGGATATTGGATCTTCCCTCTCCACATCCAGTATGGAGAGGCTGAATTCCCATGACTACACAATGACTAGTTTTTCCTCCTATGGTAATTGTAAGCAGTGGGTTCCCGGAAACCCCCTTGTCCTTCATAAGCCATCCCACTTCTCGTGTCTTTCTATTTCCATCCGGCACATGGAATCGCAGTGACTTTTCGCTCCATCCATGCCCCACCCCGTGAGTCCTATCAAGCAACAGAAACGTACGGACAAAGTCAACACCTCTTTCCCACCGTAGACTGTCAGAATACCTATGTATACGTAAACCAAAAACATCACAACATGCATATTTAAAGAGAGGGGAAATTAATTGTCAACGCGAAATGCCGAGACACAGGGGAATCAGTACATAACCGTCCGATCCAACGGCTTGGAAGGTAGGAGAAATAGGTGCTAGGGTCCAGAATACTTTCATCCCATCGCCCGCATGATGTCACCCCGTCCATCGGTCATGTCTTATCCGCCGTTCTTCTCTGCCGCTCCTCTACCAGCTCTTCTCCTATCCCCGAAAGAGTTGCCTCTGGCTTGAGAGCCCCTCCCCCTCGACGCGAGTTATTAGTGTTGCTAAGCTGCGTTGCCCACACATAGGTGCGGCGTGGCCCCCCGCCCCCGCCAAAGGCAAGGTTCTCTGTTCCAGCCCAGCCGCCCTCTCAGAGTCTCCTTTCCCAAAGCCACCCGTAGACTGCCGCAGCCATTGTGTGTGCTCGCTGCACACCGCGCCGAGGGTTTCCGAGAAATCCTCGAGGGGCGCCTTGCGTCCTCTCCTTGTTGCGCCCGCGTCCCCATGTCTCGGGTTCCCCTCGGCCGGAGGTGCCTGCGGTTGGCTCCACTTTGTCGTGGTGACTCGGGATCGAGCGCGATAATAGGACGTGTGGCCCTGTGATAGCCGTATGCCGAACTGAGGGGCATTTTCCCATGGCTGGGCCATGGACCACGCTTTTGCCCATGGAGAGCCAGGAGAGGACCCCTTGGTACGGAAGTACACACACGAGAGCTTCCGGCAACGCTGATGATTGAAGTCTCAGGTAATTACCTAGTAATAGTCCATGCCCCCAGATCCGGGCCTACAAACAAGATCCATTTCCCTTCCAATCTCTTCTTCGTGATCGCATCTCTTGACTACTTCTCTCTCTCTCTCTTCTCCCTACCTTCCTCCAAAAACGTAACCTTCTTCTACTTACCCTCTACTATCCCTCGGCTTACATCCCGAACCATTGTGTCAGTGCGCAACACTCTTTGTTAGAGCTCCCGTGAACCCCGCCATCGCAAGTGTCAAACCCTCGTCCTCCATTGGAATTATTCCGTAAGTTTTCTCTGGATTTACAAGCTGTCCGGACCACTCTTCCTCTATCGTTGATAGCTAAGACTCGGTACTTGTAGACCAAAATCTTGCCCATCATGTCAGCCTACACAACAAACGCCGGTGAACAAGAGACCGAGAAGATCAACACCAACATTATCACTTTGACCCGTTTCCTGACGGAAGAGCAAACCAAGCACAAGGAAGCCACCGGAGATTTTACGTAGGTCTTCTACGCCCTTTCAACCCTCCGTGATAGCTTCTGACAGTGGTTCCAGTCTTCTGTGCCACGCGCTGCAATTCTCCTTCAAGTCCATCGCATACTACATCCGGCGAGCTACCCTGGTCAACCTGACAGGTCTGGCCGGTTCCTCCAACATCACGGGCGACGACCAAAAGAAGCTCGACGTCATCTCCAATGACCTCTTTATCGAAGCCATGAGGTCCTCCGGCCGATGCGCCCTGCTCGTGTCGGAAGAGGAGGAGGAGATCATCTTCTTCAAGGACGCCACCGGCGCCCGCTACGCCGTCGCCTGCGACCCCATCGACGGTTCCTCCAACCTGGACGCCGGTGTCTCCGTCGGTACTATCTTTGGCATCCACAAGCTGCCCGAGGGCTCCACCGGCACAAAGGAGGACATCCTCAAGCCCGGCTCCGAGCTGCTGGCCGCCGGCTTTACCATGTACGGCGCCTCAACGCAGCTCGTCCTCACCATGAAGGGCGGCACCGTCAACGGCTTCACCCTCGATAACGGCGTCGGCGAGTTCATACTCACCCACCCGGACATGCGCCTGCCCCAGTCCCGCGCCATCTACTCCGTCAACGAGGGTAACTCGCTCTACTGGGAGGACAGCACCAACAACTATTTTAACTCGTTGAAGACGCCGCAGGAGAACGGCAAGCCCTACAGTGCGCGTTACATTGGTTCCATGGTGGCCGACGCCTACCGTACGTTGCTGTACGGAGGTGTCTTTGCCTACCCGGCGGACAAGAAGAGCCCCAAGGGCAAGCTTCGCATCCTGTACGAGTGCGCGCCCATGGCCTTGGTGTTTGAGAATGGTTAGTTGCAGGCCGTTGTACCTATTCAATTGTAGCATGCTAACAACATCATCACAGCCGGCGGCCAAGCGGTAGACAGTCAA